GCGCTGCGCCTGGGCCTGGGCCTTCTTGCGAGGGGCGCAGCCCCAGGAGGGCGCCCCCGGGGCTGTGGGGCTGCACCGCCTGATGCACCCAGTCCCCGTTCGGGGCACGCGCCACCCCTCCGCCTCACCTGGGAACCTACATGTGCGCTCGGCCCAGGCCGGTGACCGCAGCGCGGAGCCTGGCCAGCCACCGCTGGCTCTGCCAGGGTCTCTCAGGGCACAGCAGCAGGACAGCCGCAGCCAGGGCCCAGCCCTGGGGGCCTCCGAACTCAGCAGCCCACAGCAACGGGGAGCAGCCGGACAACGAGGCTCACGGCAATAGCACCGGGATCCTGGCAAGAGAGGCCCGGGCCTGGCTCCTGCCTGGGGGAGGGTTGCCGGCCGAGGCCACAGCCATGCAGAGGCTGCAGAAGAGGGTGGTGAGGAAGGGCGAGGCCGAGCGAGGCTGCCCCCACCCTGCCCCGCGAGGGCCGCGAGCCCCTTCCCTTTGCTCCACAGCACTCACTGCTGCGGGGCTGAAGGGGCTCCGGCCCATGCCAACGAGGCAGCGCGCCGAAGGGGGCTGGAAAACCTGGTGGGCGAGGGGCCACATGCCACTGCCCCAGGCCACGCTGCGGTGCAGGTCACTGGCAGGGGCTGCTCTCATTCAGGCAGCACCCAGCACCGGGCCCAGCTGCCCCCCAGCATGAGCCTGGCCTCAGGGGAGCAGCAGGGAGGGCCCATGGCCTGGGGGCCCTGGGCCTGCAGGCGTCCTGTGGCCGGCCGTTGGCCAAGGCCAGAGACAGCGGGAACGGGCAGGGAGGGATGGGCGCAGAGGGGAGGCTGAAGTCACCTCTCGGTCCCCATGAGACCCACCGACCCAATGCACTGGGCAGGGGCTGGGCCCTGAGGCAGCCCGGTGGGCCAGAGCTGGGCTGGGCAGCGGCTGTGCCTGTCGCAGCACGCGGCGGACCCCGACTGCAGCCCTGCCCTGCGCAGCTCCATCCCCGCAGCTGCCCCGGGGCTCTGCCGGGAGAGCTCCTGAGCTCCTGCTGCTTGCCCCCGCCCCAGCTCAGTGCCTCGGCGCAGTGCATCGGCCCAGGCCCGTACCTGGCTGCAAGGACGAAGCCGCTGACGGGTGGCTACACCAGGTTGGGCTGGTCCTGTCCTGCAGCGCTGCAGGCTCCCTCCACGAGGAGCAGGTGCAGGGGCTGCAGCCTTCATACCTGAGCAGGTGCTCAGCCCGTGACCTGGCCCAGGGGATCCTGGGAGACATAGTCCAGGATGCAGGCAGTCAGCTTGTCCTGGGACATCTCTACACACCGCAGCTTTTGCTTGTTGCTGGAGAAACAAAGCAAAAGGGTCTGGGGGAGATGGTACAGAAAGCGGGGTGTGCTGGGGGTGTTTGCACACAGACTGCACGTGTGCAGGTGTCACTGGCTGGACAGGGGCAGGGGTTGGTACACATGCTGCTCGTGAGATGCTACAGGAGTGCTTTGGGCCCATACTTAGCCCCTCCAGCACTGCAGTCGTGCCCTGGGGGCAGCAGGCACTTGCTCAGGCCAGTCACCTGCATACTGGGGCGCCTGCCCCACAGCCCTGCCCCACACCGGCGGGAGGGCGGAGGCTGGGCTTTGGCCCCTGACCACGGGCTGTAACCGGCCACGCCTGTGCACCTGCACCGGGCCATGCTGCCCGGGGGCTCCCTGCTGCACTTGGTGCTTACCCACTCCCAGCCCCTACCACGTGCCTGGATTCAAAGGCTAACGATCACGCCCGGCATCCAGGGATCCCCTCAGGGCCCAGGGCCCACGGCTCCAACCGGGCTTGTCCCTTGTTGATGCAGGGCCCTCATTAGTCTGGACTCGTCACAGAGCCCTCCTGGCTCCTGTGCCTTGCTCGTAAGGAGCAGGGGGCAGCGGCGGCTCCGCGGGGGGCTGGGGCCATTGGGGCTAGCAACAATGACGGAGCCGGTAACACCACGTCTGTCCCCCGGCCCCTCTCTCCCTGTGCAGCCCTCTGCCTGGTGCTGGGCTGCATGATCTTCCCGGACGGCTGGGACGCGGAGACTATCCGGGACATGTGCGGGGAGAAGACGGGGAAGTACGCGCTGGGCGACTGCTCCGTGCGCTGGGCCTACATCTTGGCCATCATCGGCATCCTCAACGCCCTCATCCTCTCCTTCCTGGCCTTCGTCCTTGGCAACCGGCAGAACGACCTGCTGCATGAGGAGCTCAAGACAGAGAGCAAAGGTGAGCACGGCCCCATGGTAAGGGCCTCATCAGCCCCAGCCCTGCCCCGGGCGCGGGGGCAAGATGTGCCCGCACTGCGCTCTCGGGGGCGTTGGCCAGCCCGGCCTGGCCTGGCCAGGCTCAGCCCAGCCTGACACGCCAAGAGCGAGGTCTGGGGACAGGTCCCAGCCGCCGCGTCCCCGCATGGCCGGGGTGCCCGAGTTCCCTGTGGCGGTGCCAGGAGAGCTGCCCCCACCGGGGCCCAGTCGGTCCCTGCGGCCGCGCGTGGAGGGAACGGGGCTGAGCAAGCAGGAGCCGCCCCAGGGCGCCATGGCCGGGAGCAGGGAAGCAGACGCTCGCCTCCGCGCGCACCCTGCACGGCTGGAGCTGGCACAGCGGTAGGCAGCGCAGCAGCCCTGGGTGTGGTTGAAAGGGGCGGGGGGCGGCCCGGTGGAGGCAGGTGCAGGCTCCTGACGCTTTCTCTTTGTCTCCGACAGATTTTGTTGGCACTGCGGTAAGTTCTGTGCGTCCCCCAGCGGGTCCCCCCAGGCCGTGGGCTGCGCCAGGCGCAGCGGGGTCTGTCCATCCACATCACCCCCATGCTCCCCCCGCCGGGTCTGCCCTGCTCCTCCCCAGCCTGCTGGGCCCGGCCCTGTGGCCAAGGCCAGGGCCAGGGCCAGCTCAGTCCTGCCCGAGCACAGGGGTCTGGGAGAGGGCCCAGCTTCGTGCACCCGGACCTGTGGGGTGGTGGGGAGGGAAGGCGGCCACGCAGGGCAGGGCAGGAGCTCTGTGGCTGTCCCCACTCCAGCTGCAAGGGGACAGCATCACCCCCCGCTGCCCCAGGCGCCTGCGGCTGGGCCACAGCCCCCGTGCGGTGCCACGGCAGCCAGCGCTGCTTTGCAGGAGCCAGCTGCTGTGCCGGGGCCTGGCTTAGACAGAAGGACGCTGGGCCTGCTGGCTGGAGTGTCCCAGCGGCGCCGCGGGCGGTGGAGGCTGAGCGGCAGGGCGGGTCCGGGGCTCCCGGGCAGGGTGCGGGGCCGGTGGCGCTGACGCCCACGTTCTCTCCACAGAGGATATAATGTAGTGCGAGCAGCTGGGCCCTCGCAGCGCTGGCGCCTGGACTGGACCCTCCCCATCCCTGCCCTCCCTTCTCTGCCGACACCCCTGTCCCAACCAGCTCTGTGCCTCAAACGCCACCGGCCTCGCCAGGGACCTGTCGGCCACATGGCTCCCTGCCCCTGCCGGGACCGGGACCGGGACCGCCTGCCCACCCGCCTGCTTCAGGAACAGCAACGCACTGCAGCTGTGCCCCCCGGAGACAACCACAGAGGTTTGGATGGATTTCAATGCTCCTGGGAAGCATCGAGGCCCCCCCCAAAGTGCCCCTGTCCAGCCCCTCCATGCCCTGCCCTGGCGGCGGAGCCGGCGCCAAGAGGAGCCCCTGCCTCCACCCCTACACCTCCGGGCAGCAGCGGGGCTGCAGCAGACTGAGCTGCTGGGGGATCCCAGCCCTGGCCCGATGAGCCAACACTTGTGCATTCGCTCATCTTTGCACAGGGACCACGACTGCGCCCCGCAGCTCTTCTGGGCTCTGGCTGAAACTCACTCCTGGGCCCAGAGCCTCCCACCCCTGCTGGGACCAGCTGTGGGGGCAGCCCGGTGCCAGATGCTGAATGTAACCCCTGGCCTGGCCCTTGATGCTGGGGGCTGCTAAAGGTGTGACCAGCGCCCACTACCCTCCTGCCCCTGTTCCACCACGTGTGTCTCATGCTGGTGCCAAATGCCACAGTCCTCCCCACACGGTGCTTTACCCCTCGCCAGACAGATCCATCCCCCTCCCGGCTGGGGGGCGGCTACACAGCCCTGCTGCGGCAGGGCCCCAGCTGCGGGGGCAGCCTGGAGGGGGCCGTGCCTGCTGCTCCGTGCCCACACCCAAGCCTCAGAGGCAGGACAGCAGTAAGGACCTGCACCGCGGGGACCCCTGTGCCGCTGAGAGTGAGGCACCTTAGCTGCTCCCCGCAGACAGCAAGGCTGCCCCTGCTCATCGCAGGCCTGCGACTCCAGGAGGCAGTGACAGTCCCCAGAGCCTCATTGCTGCAGGGACAGAGCTGGCCCTCCGCCCCTCAGAGCCCCCGGCTGGAGTGGAGCTCGCATCCAGCTCAGCCCCAGCCCCTGAGACCAGACGAGCCAGAGCAGCTCGTGCCCGTGCCCAGCAGACACAGGCTGGAGGCGAGAGTGCCTGGAAGCATGCAGCACGCAGCAGCGCAATAAAGTCCTGAGCGCTCGCGCTGACTGCATCCCAGTGCCCAGCTGCAGGTCACCCGGGGACGTCTCTGCCACTGGGCCCCAGGCAGCAGTCGGTCGGGGTGGGGAGCATGGGGGCAAGAGGTGAAAGGTGGGAAGAGAAAGTTATAGGGGCTGGCGTGGCGCAAGGCAGGGCTGCAGGGGCCGGGGCTTGTGCCAGGCTGGCGGGACCAGGGCTGCAGCACGCAGGGACCCGGGCATCCTGCCGCGGCTGCTTCCTGAGAGCGGAGCCAGGAAGCAAAGATGTACATAGCGCCGAGCGCCAGGGCAGGGAGGGGAGGCTGGGACAGGCCCGGGCATGCAGGAAGGTTGGTTTGGTGGTGGCACACAGACGCTGTAGGGCAGCATGGGAGAGGGGCCAGAGCGGCAGGGGAGGTCTGGCCTCCACCGCCCAGGCGGGCCCTGTCCCCTTAGAGCAAAGGAGCAAGGATCGAGCCACATGCACAACCACGCAGCACCTCCAGGGAGGGCCACAGCATTGTCATGAGTCCTGTCCCCCACCCCCCACCCCGTGATCACGACACCCTTGTAGCAACCACGGCCCCTGCCCAGCTGGGGGAGTCACGCCGGGAGACCGCTGGGCACAAGGATGCGCTTCTCAGTCACTTGGCAGCAAAGGCTGAAGAGGAGCTGCCCAGCCCCGCGCTGGCAGCTCAGCCTGCTCTGGCAGCTACTACAGCAGGGTCACAATTGCAGATGATGGCACAGATGTGGCTGCTTTTGTCGACTGAGATGCAGCACCTGCGCAGAGGGAGCCGTGGCTGTAACATATCTGTATTTTAGTACGAAGTTTGATACGGTGTTTCACAAACCTTATTGGAAAATATAATTCAAACTGGACTGGGTCTGAACCCTGTCGTGTGGAGCAGAAACCGTGGCGTGGTGGTGCTTCTCCAAGGGACATGCCCCAGCACCCAGCCCAGGGTTGGGCTGGGATTGGTTGCAAGAAGCCCGCATTTGCTCCCAGCGAGGAGGCTGCCAGGGGGACGCGGCCTGCAGCAGTAACGGGGCAGGTAGCTGCGCCGCGGAAAGATGGAGGAGCTGTAGTGGGAGCAGAGACCCACCACCCCCAGCAGGACCGGCCCGAGAGCAGGGCAGGTGGCAGGACCAGAGCCAGCAATTGTGAGGGGAGTGAGGGGGGCCATGAGGGATCCCAGGAAGGCTGGGGTCTGCCAGACCACGTGGCTAGACCCAGCTGATGGCAGTGGCCAGGATGGACGCTTTGCCCTGTGGGCTGCCAAGAACCGTGCCAGGGGAGGGGGCCCCGTCTGGCAAGACCAGCCGAG